TGTGTGTGTGTGTGTGTGTGTGTGTGTGTGTGTGTGTGTGTGTGTGTGTGTGTGTGTGTGTGTGTGTGTGTGTGTGTGTGTGTGTGTGTGTGTCTTAATACAATCAAAGGTGATGAGTGAATGAAGATACCAAGAGAATTTTACCATAAACTCTTTAACATTAACACATACAAAAATCTTAAAAATTTTATTTAAAAATACAATTAAAATAAAGAAACCAACATCTCTATCATGCTTAGATTTACAATGACGATGGTGCTGCTGCTGATGATGATGATGACGTTGCACGTGGTCGAAATTGTCCCCAACCTCGTAACCTTCAAGAATGAGCGACACTTCATTTTTGACCTGTTCACTCCCATCCAAACTGTACACTGCCCCAGACAGTCTCATCTGGAGGTCAATTAATTAAAAAAACATTATGTTAAAGTTTAACAAAATTACAATTAAATGGCTGAAATTCGAGTGCTAATGTAAAAATAATTTTCAGTAACTCACAGAAATAAACAGGAATCATTACTGCAACCTAACAAATAAGAACCATTCCAATTACTATTACCTGCTACTATTAGCTACAACTACTACTCTACTACTGCTGCTGCTATTACTGCCGATACTAGTACTAAATGAATAATGAATACAAACCTCATTTTTCTGGATGGAGCACCTGACAGCCACGGGAACACTGCACCCGCCCTCCTTCGAAAACATTATTTAACCATTTTACAATCATTCAGGAGAATATGGTTAAAAAAATTACAGAAAAATGTGAATAACAAGACGCTGTGAATGAAATGATAAGAAGAGACGCTTGTGTAGTGTCAAGATTATAAACTAATGATTACATGAAGTTAATGTCAGTTTAAACGATTTATAAAAAATTGAACAAAAAAAACTAAAAAGTAGTTGGTATAGACAAGCTTCCTTAGGAAAGATCTCTCTGCAATGCACGTGAGTGAAGTTTCAAGATCGTTCACTAATGCCAAGAGGTCAAGGGTCACCATATCATCTGCCCTACATTCAACAGCCATTGCTCCTTGGCCCACTGCATACATCAACTCCTCTGAGGTTATTATCTGTGATCAGTAAAATTTTTGTGATGAAAATAAGGTTATAACAAAAAAAAATTGACAAATAAAAACCGGATTGACAGCCATATTCAATTATCCCACTGAGAGATACCTGAGTGATCCTGGAGTCCCAGCCAAGCCTCTGAAGACCAGCTGTTGCCAGGATGAGAGCATCAAACACTCCTTCCTCATCCAATTTCTTCAAACGAGTATTCAAGTTGCCTCTCTGTTACGAATGTAGTAGTAGTAGTGGTAATAATCTACTTGAGTGTTTAAGTTTGAAGAATGTTGACAGTTAGCAGTTGTTAGTTGTTGATTGTCAGCTTTTGTCATATTTTAAACTAGAGAATTACTTGTGTGTTTTTGAATGTTTTCAAAGTAAATAAATTGTAGTAGCAACAAAAAAACAAAGAAAAAATCAAATAATAATGGTCTATAGCCAACCACATCCAGAATTTTCAAGTTGGGGTAAAGTTTCTTAAGCTGAGCAGTTCTCCTTAATGAACTTGTGCCCACCGTACTGGAATGATCATGGTGATGTTGTCGGAAAGTTGGTGATGGCAAAGTGTACAATAAAATTGCAATGGATTAAATAATGATAAAAAATAAGAATGATGAAGTGATTAATTGATGATTAAAATTAGGAAAAAGATCATTGTCCTGTGTTAAGATTAAAGATAACATTATTACTACCAAATTATAGACTTATTTAAATTCATTTTATACAATTACAAACGAGATAGATAAAAAAATTAAAACATCTCCGTAACATAAAATAACTTTGTCGCAACGATGCGCATGTTACCTTCCATCTGGTAGTGTACGAAGACTCGTTGCACCGCATCCCTTTCTTACGATCAGTGCATCTCTTGGGTCATCTCTCCTAATTATTTGTAATAAGATAATACATATATATGTGTGTGCAGATGTGTGCGTGTGAAGATGTGCGTGTGCGTGTGTGTGAAATTATTACATTTTAGTGTTAACTGTTTTGCAGTAAATATTTTTGGTTAATAATAATAATAATAACTTGATGATGGCCCCGACAACTAATCCCTCTGGCAGTTCAGTAGGGACATCCTTTAAAGAGTGCACCACAAAGTCTACCTTGTTGTTGATTAGTGCAACTTCTAACTCTTTCGTAAACAGACTTTTTTCCCCAATCTGCGATTTGTTGACTAAAATGATTCACTTTTAAATTAGCAATTGTTTAATATATACCTATTACTGTCTAAGTTTAAAATGAAAATAAATATTATTATATAAGCATATATTAAAGATGAATAAGTTATAAACCTTGACAATTTTTTTAATATTTTGTCTAAATAAAATTATTTAATTTTTTAAAATGATGATGATGAACATATGCATATTAAATTCTTATGTGAAAAGATTGAGTTAGATGTTGTCTCTGTCTGGTCTGTACAATCTCAACATGCAAAAAACATTTTTCTATTGTATACTCAACTGATGTTAGCTGTCTTATTTTATGCTAATGTAATAAAAATACATTATTTAAAGATAAAATCAAATTAATTTTTTGATAAATAAAATTAAAAGGAAATGTAAAATATAAAAGTGGATAAGAATCTAGAGTTTACTGACCTTAGCCAGGGCTTTATCTAAAATGTTATCACCCATTGTTGTCATTGACACTAAATTTTTATTTTTTTCAGTAATTAATTTTAAAAAATTAACAAAAATTTTTATAAACTAAAAAGTGAATGCTGTACATCTAACCTATCTCAAATTGGTACTCTGGAAATTTCTCTGAGAGAAATTCTATAACCTTTTTTGTTTGGACAAGGGCCAGCTTTATTTTATTATTTCATAAAATTAAAAAACATATGAATTTCAAGCCATATATTACTAAATTTAGTTAATAATAAATAATATAAATCAAGTACATTAATTTATTCATGATCAACTTTCAAGATACAAATTTATTTTCAATTTAATGTGAAAAAGAGTTTTTAATGAATAAAATTATTAAAATTAAACTTTGATCTTAATCAGAAAAAGATGATTGAATTTATTTACTTACCTTCTTACATTTACAAGTACAAAACTAACATTATGATTACACACTAACACTTGAGACCAGACACTGAGTTACAAGTTTTCAAGCCATTAATTAAAATTTGTCAACCAATTAATAATATTTTTTCCATTTATTGACAAAATAAATAAATCAATAAAATTAAAATACTTTATTACCGAAATAAATTTAAAATAAAGTCAAAAATGTTAACTTGGCTTTTTCTTGAGCCAACCCTGAAAACTTTTTTTGTCCCATGTTCATGTTGATGTTCATGAGGATGGGAAGTTGCCGAAGCGTCTGCAGAATCGTGGCCAACAAGCAATGAAGACATCATTGATGGCGAACGCTGATGAACTGTGTGACAGCAGAGGATACACTACCAACTGAACGAGAACATTTGGTGAGACGAAAATTTGAAATAAAAAACACTTATATTTATATGCATCCATAATATAGACGCAAAACAGCAAAAATATGATTTTAAAATTTTACATTGAAGTATGACATATGAAATATTAAAAAATTATAGCGAGTACACGATAAACTTTAAACCTAATATCGTTTAAAGGTTTAAAAGTTAATTTTGACAAAAAGCAGGTGCCCGTTCATAGATTCATATATATATATATATATATATATATATATATATATATATATATATATATAAGTTCCATATACTTATAATCATATATATATAAATAATTTAATATAATGCCAAGTTCATAGATTCTGTGAAATAAGACTTCAAATATTCTTTACTAAAACATTTCGCAATAATTGAGAAAATTTTTTCAGTAAATTTTTTAGAAAGTAAGATAACCTTGTACAAA